TAATTTACTGTATCTGTGCATCTTCATTCAACTCAAGCCCATTTTCTTTTCTGCCAGCTTGATGTTGATGGTGCAGCCTGTAGTTTGTTGTGACTGTGAGATAATTTCGGTTGCAGGAAGGACTGAAACACTGGGTGGAATTTCCTCTTTACAGGTGAAACATCTGTAGTAGGTTTTTTTAACGGGATTATATAATTATAGTTTTGCTGTGTGTGTTTTTTTCTTATTTTTCTTATCTGAGGCCGTAATTACTGCTCACAGCCATGGGTCGTTACTCCTTTCAGCTGGCCTAATCTCACAGAGGATGAATAGAAACTGTCAATCAGACGCTGCACTCAGCAGCGAGACAAGAGGCGACTGATTGCTGCTGCTGTGCTGCGGCACACACACACACACACACACACACGCACACACACAAGCACACGCACACACTTTTTCGTCCTCCTCCTCCAGTATTTTCACCTTCTCTGCCTTTACTGATGCACAACTAAAACCCTCCAAAAAGCAGATTTTACCACGTTTAACTTTTCTGAAGACTGCTCATATTTTGATTTCAAGCTTTAGGCCTATTAGGAAACGGTTGTTTTTTTTGTCTCACTCTGTGATTATAATATTTAACCAATTGTGGCTGCCGCCTTTGCTGCAAAATATGCCAGGATGTTTGCTGCACTGATAAACACCTCTTCTAATATATTTCTAGTGAACGATGAAAATATCATGAAATAAGTAAACGGGATAGATAGATAGATAGATAGATAGATAGATAGACTCCACCACATTTCAGGTAAATATTGTGCATTTTTATCCAATACATTTAGCTATTGGTTGTTGTTCACAGTTGATCCTAATCAGTATCCATTGATTCTGTTGCAGTAGCTACTCCTCCTGGCTCCATTAGTATACATATGTTAGTTATATTTATTAAAGAAAAACTAATTAACTAATATACTTCACCTACACAAAGAATGATGCACTGCTAGATTAAAAGCCCCAACAGTATAAACAGTTCTCATTAATCACTTTTTTATGTACTTTGTTATTAACTCATCAGTAGGATCATTAATGACCAGGCTTCCATAGTTTTTAAAGGTTATGGCTGATCTTCCTGCCTCGAGGCTTGAGGATATGTTTACTATAGAATGATTTCATTATTTTTACCACGTGATTGAATGCAATCAGGGGAAACTAGATCCTTGATCTGTTTTATCGTGATAATAATCAAAACAAAGCCCCATTTTATGTGAAGCATATTTCTGATATACTCAGAATCAGACATACACTACACTACTGCACATAAATGCGTGTGTCTCCTAATAGGCTATGATGCCTGTAGCAAGAGTAAAAACATAGATCTACCCTCTGCCTGAATATGCCCGCAGACCAAAAAGAAAAAGATGTTTATTTGCACCACGCACCGACTGCCTCATCTCCTCTCCCATGTGCGGATTGCGGCCTCGTGGAGATGAATCTGATCAATCAGATCAATCAACAGAGATTACTGTAATCCCAGAGGTCAGCGGGAGGGCACCGGGCCACTCAGAGTTCACACATCCCACACACAAGCTCCAGACAAATCTGTGCAGGAATTGCAAACATTTGGCCACAGGAAACTGTAATTTTATGCAAAGATTCAAACATTTAGACGGAAACAGATTATTTAAACGACCTGGTGCTATTTTACACTAAATACAACTGCAGCTGCTGGCAAGATCTCTGTTTTATCAGACAAAGGCATTGATTTATAATTTCCCAAGCCTTTATAAAAAGCTGTAATATTTCAAATGCCCCCAAAAACTGTTTCGTGTGTCTATTTTTGTTAACGGAGCAGGTAACGTCACAGACAAGCATTTGGGATTATTAAAACAAGCAGTTGAAAACGCGTTTTGTCACTCTGCCATGAAAGCCGTGGAGCTGCTGAAACTAGATGTGGACAGCCGATATTTCTATATTTTGGATACTGGAAAGAAACCTGAGCCAGGTTGCAGGTGAGTTCATGGAGCTTTGTTGAAAAAAAACATTGGAAGGAGGTGGTGAGGAAATGAGGCAGCAGGTTAATGTAAAATGTGGGCAGCGGTGTGACGGACACTCAGCTTTACGCACATTTATTCGATCTTATTATCCACATTAACAGACAGACTGGCCTCGTGATAAAATCTCAGTGACTGCAGTCAAACTGAATTAAGCGTTTGGCCTCTTTAGGTTAATAAAATATCTCTGTGTTTGTCCCCCCTTGCTCTCAGAAGGTCATCAACTTTACTCAGCTCATGTTTACTCGCAGTTCCTTGCCATGTAGTCAAGAGACAACTGATGTTGCACAACACAGAGGCAACCTATGTGGAATATTAAAATACTTAACAAGGGACAAATGATAAAATAAACCTGTAGAATCTATAATTTCGTCCAACTGAATGGCTAAAAAATGCCCGTATTTCAGAACATCTTAGGGAACTGCAGTTCATTTTAAACGAAATGTATGCCCTTTAAGAAATATATAGACTATGCATTGTTATTGGTAGAAAATTAATGCTTAATATATGCTAATACCACGGGCACATGTTACATCTGACTATAATAAGCCTATTAAGTCTATTAGGAGATTAAATATTTACTGTCAGTTAAGTCTACTGAAAACCATGATGTCACTAAACACAATGTTGATAAAATTATTTAATTCGACACTTTCAAAACGGATAATCATATACATACATACATTTAAAAAGCAGTTAAATAAAATAAAGCAATTGGACGTGTAATTGGGGCTAACAAGTAACATTTTAAGGTGAAAACAAAACATTTTGGCTTGTGATTTCTGAGCATTAAAGGGACTAGCTGCAGATAACTTCAAATAAATTTTAAGAATGAATAACTGCATGTCTTATTATTAATATTTTACCTTCTTTTAACAACCTGCTCAGAATTTTAACAATATTTTTTACCAATACACACCAACACATGAATAATTCAGACGCTCATAATTAATGCATGTTGCCCTTTTAGTTTCCTACTAACACTGTAGGCCTACACCAACACCACCAATACTAACGATAATGTTAGTTTTGTCGCCCAATTAAGAGACTGAAAATGTTTTCTTCTGCATCACAATTCTAAAATTTTTTTTTACACACATACAGTAAGAGAAAGACAAGTAGCCTACTTTATATTTGTACAACAACAGAGTAATGCAGAAAAAAATGTCGAAATGAAAAATATTTATTCCTCTTTTCTTACAACACGGATCCCTCCGCAGCTCCGCATCATTACCAGACTCTTCAAGAAACTTTCAGGCGTCGAAAGGTTGTTTCTCCTGCACTGACATTTAGTTTGGTGCTGTTGTGTCCGGGTTTAGCTCTGGGTACAAACTGTCCCACAGGAGAGCAGAGGATCGCTGCTTCTTCCAACTTTTCCTTTTGTGCGTTCCTGAACACGTCCAGCACCACAACACAAGCAGATAGTTAGTGATTATGTCTTCCCAAACCCAGCTCAAACAACCAAAAATCATCTCTGAATATTAAATATATAGGCCTTTTAAACATAAAAAAATAAGAAGTGTTACTGATAAAGGACAGTTGTGACAAACCGGCCAGTGCTGCAGTGTTTAGTGGTGTTTAATTTGCATTTTCTGCAGCAATGGTTATTTAACATTGGTTATATAATGGCTGGAAATGAGCCAGAGAAAATCCACACAATCCTCACCTTCTCTTTTAATCATGCACTCTTATTTTTGTAGTTAAGGCAACTTTGTCAGTAGTTAAAATAAAGTTTTAAATTAAGCGTTGAAGTTTAGTCTTCACCACACTGTGCAATGCCTCCTAATGCCCCATGTCCCAAAACATTCATACCTATCTTTATAATGTGGACTTAAAGGCTAAAACTAAACTTAACTTCCTCTTTATTATCTACATCCTTACACATACACTGGTTAGGCTGCCCTCTGTTGTAGTAGAAAGAGTCTTGTTATGTGTTGCTTTAGAAGTATTTTAGTGGAAGCAAAAACAGTGACACTAAAAGTTACTTTGAGACAAGGTTTGTTGTTGGCTTCCTCAGTTTTTGTCTGGTCACCAGGCTCGTTGTTGCTGCCAGTTTCACCAAAACCTTCCCAGATTTCAGTGATTAAAAGGTTGTTTCTTTTAATTCTGTTCTGTAATGAGTTGTACTATTGACTTCTGAATAATAACAAAAAGCATCTTGTAACTTAAATTTCTGAGGGGAACCTAAAGTCTTCATTTTCAAACAGCTTGTCAGAAAATGAGCAATACAGCCATATGCATACTAAACACATAACCTTTTTTTTTTTAAAAATTTTTAAACTTAACTTACTTCTTTAATAGTAAAACAGTAAGTAACATTGATGGATGTGATGTTTTCTATGTGAATTAATCTCTAAAAGTATAAAGCATATATAGATAACATATCCCCAAAAAATGATTTCAGTCTCTGATAATAAAAAGTTTTTTAAAAAATTGGTGTAATTTCAAATATTCTACTTTAAGTGAAATATCTGTCTTATAAATACTGAAAAGAAACATAAATAAAAAGTTACTTATACCTCTGTCAGATTCAGTGACTGAACAGTATGTTCAGTAAAATGGCAACAAAAGTGTAACAACTACTTGTTGAATATATAACTGGTTTATTCTCACACCTCTGGAGCTGAACTTGGTCTCACGGCAGTTAGGCTCAGTGTTTCCAATAACTTGAAAAGATCATATCAGTTTTTGTTCTTTAAACAGAACAGACTTTGTCCTCTTGAGGTGAAACTTCCCTGCAAAAAAATACACACAATCCACTTGAAATAAACCCAAATTATTTCACATTCACCTGTAATGTTGTTCGTTATTTTAAAAAAGGAAATCGTGCAGCCAAACGTTTTTCAATGTCCGCTGGAATCACATGAAAAATATATTTTGTGTAACACAGAGGACATCGGCGCAGCGGTGTAGCCCGCCACCAAGTGTCCCTGCGATGAACTGACAGAAGTCGCAATAAGTAATAACAAAACATAAACATACACACATTTTTATTCATTTTTGACATTACAAAATACAAATCACACACACAAACGGAGCAGATACAAATAAACTGCTACATTCTTGAAACAGTTAACCTATTGAGCACTTCAGTTTGACACTAAGAAGAAACAAACTTTGACCTATTTTACAAGCAAGCAAACATCAAATAAATCTATTTAATCTGCACTACACCAACAGCTCCTGGTCAACTATGTAGAGGAATAACGCACAGTATTTGTTTCCTTTTAAGGCTGATGTATTCAATCAGGTCAAAAACAAACAAAAAGTATTGAGTCACACAGAGGAACTGTCATGATTTTGTAAAAAGAGGTTGTGTGTTAGGGAGAGAACAGTGCAGCCAGATCATGGCACTTGCTCTGTGTACAAATGTGAATTAAAGCAGAGCTGGCATTTTACTTCATTTACAAGTGATCATGCCTGTCAGCTCTCTCTGATCTGCACTCGTACTGTGAAAAGAGCGATGGGAGAGTCAGATACACCTGTTGGAAGCAAGCTAATGGAAGAAGAGGGATTTAACACTGGGAAGACGACAGACAGGCTGCTCCTATGCTGGATTTTTTATTTCCCCTTGCTTGATCACGTACAGTCCCACTTCTCACTCTTCAAACCGGCCCATGTGTTGGTCTGCTAGGTACGGTTATGTGACAGGATGTACAGATGATGGTGAGACAACATTGGGGTTAAGAGAGAAACAGGATGTTACAATGAAAGGCACTTGTGTTGCGTACATTCGTTCTGGAGGCTTCATAAATTCAAACCAAAGAACGAATCCTTCTCCGAGCTCTGCTGGACCGGGTGCAGTAGGTTATTCTTAAAGGAGAAATCCACCCATCAAGATTTTTTGTCACTGTCGATTCATCTAATGATTATTTTCTTGATCATTGGATTAATAGTTTGGCCAGTGCGATGTCAGAAAAATGTCTGTCACAGTTTCCCTTCAAATGTCCAAAGCTTTAAAACTTGAAATGCTACTAAATCTTCACATGTGCAAAGCTGGAAGGAGAATGTTTGGCATCACGGCTTGAAAAATGTCTTGAATCACTAATCAGTTAACAGAATACCTGCAGATACATTTTTTTGTCGATTGACTAATCAATAAATTATTTAATCTCCATTTAATAACCTTAAATACAGCTATTGGCTCTGTGCAGTACGTTAGATCTGTGATTAAATCTGGTCGGTTTTAAAATTCTGTGGAAAGTGGCAAAAACATAACAACATGTCAAAATATTTAGTAGCAGAAAAATGTTTCAGAGATCTAAAACTTCAGACACAAAAGCTCAGATTCTGGTGTCAGTTCTTTCTGGTTGCACTATTTGACACAGATGACAACATTATTTTGTTTTGAGGCATTATTCTCTGTTTTTCCATTATTTCTGCTGCAAATGCCTTCCTCACACACATACTGAAATAATTTGACACATGCTCTGTGAGATTTCGTGGGAAATGCAGAAAAGAAGAATGTAAGTATTCGGGATGGGTTGTGGGGAAATGAGGTACAACAGAAACAGCCAATTAAAAGTCATAAAATACATTGAACCGCACTTATTGAAGGTATATAACAGTGTAAGAGTGCCACAGTTGGATTTTTCCTTTAAATGTGACCACACTGCAGCCCTCCAGAAAAAGCCTTCAGGCCAGAGAAGCATTGCATGCAGTGCTCTGCAGCGCCCCCTAATGGTTAAATTACATTATCAGCGTCACTAAACAGTTCAGTTCCTTTTCTCTGAATTGTGCAGATTTGTATTCCTTTCTATGGGTCATTTTCAAGCTACTTAATTGATAAAAGAGCCCTTGTTACTCCCTCACCTATTAATCCACGTGGGATTCAGTTTGTACAGTTTGCACATCAGGAAGAGTGAACTGGAGCACAAGAGGCAGTGAAAAGGATCTGAGGCTGTACTGATTCAAAGAGCGCTGCTGCCCTCCAGAGGTTCAGTAAGGAAAACACAGGTTAATGACAGAACACGTGGTGAAGAAAAAAACAGCAGAGTTGGAGAAGTTGAACTGTCCCTTCAGATGCTGTCGATGTTGGGAAAGTCACAGCGGAGGAATGTTTTTGTTTTTTTGGATGTAAATGTTCTCAGGATGCAAATATCTACTTCCCCTGACTCCAAACCTGAACAGCGGGGCTGGGACGGGATCTACAGCACGTGGCACTAAATCATTTGTGTGTATACTTTTTCTATTTAGGGAACATGGCAGGTTTGTTCTGTTTAATTTCATAGGTGTGTGATGGCAGGTGTGTGTGTGTCTATGTGTGTATATGTGTGTATACTTCAGATGGAAGGGGAGCAGGAGCTTAAGCTTTAGTCAAATCCTTGCCAGTCGCTCTGCTCAGAGTCGTACTCCAACTCCACGCCGATACAGCGAACTCCCTCCAGCAGCATGGGTGTACCATGGTGACGGTCTAGTGGCAAAAAGACAGAGAGAGAAAATAAATTCCCCAATCCAAGGAAAACATTTTACACTTTTCAAACCTTTGTAAGTAATGAGCTAAATACACTGGCACTGGAACTAACTCCCTATGCATTAGCCATGGCTGATTACAGTCTAAGGAAATACACAGACTAGCACAAGAAAACTAAGATGTAAGATAAGACCAGATACCACATGTACCCATTGTCACCCAGATGAAGCCTCTCTCTATTAATCATTCTAGTCTGGCATCCTCCAAACGTTTTCTAATATCTGTAATAAGGAGATACAGGAAGATGGAAATCTGCTACATGGGTGGAAAGTGTTATGGCACATCTGAAAAAACAGAAACACTCCACAAGGGGTTTATCTAGTAGATATTTTTAAAGTCCCAAAGCCTTCCTCTCCTATTTTGGACAAACATTTGCATAAACTATTAAGCACAGGTTTCTTGACCTCTTTCCACACACTCCTGCTTTCTTTTGTGCATTGGGTATATTCTGTCTATGAATTTTCACCTGTTGTGTGATGTGATTTTTGTCACATTGGAAAAGGTCAATTAATAGATTTTAAAATGAACCTTTTTCAAGAGCAAGGCAGTTCAAGACCCTCCCCTGTGGAAGAGGAACCTCCTCTAACTATTCAATTCTGAAAGTGTATGAACACAAAACATAAATGCATTGGTGGTTCAGTGGTAGAATTCTCGCCTGCCACGCGGGAGGCCCGGGTTCGATTCCCGGCCAATGCAACACACTTTTTCCTGGCTAATATTTCAGTGTTTTTGCTTGATGAAAGACGTGAATGATTAATCGAATATCAAAATAGTTGTCACCATAAATTTTACTCAATAAGTCACTGATCTAAACGCAGTAGTAGTAAAGCTAAGAGGAACAGCAGAGGCTTAATCCTTTGATCTGGTCTTCATCCAGGCTTCAATTACTCACACACATCTGGACAGATGTTCAGGCCAGGCTTTGTGAGTAAAAATAAACATTCAGCAACACAACCTCCATTCACCCTCAAACACACAGAGGCACGCACACAAAAGCACACACTCTAGTTGTACTATATTTACACCGGCACGAATGGAAAGACCATAGGGAAAGACACATACGCCCCCTTTACCTAATTCTTTAGTCTATCTGTCAGTTCTCACTTCGAAACTAAAAGATGTTAAGAGTCAGCTGAAGTAAACCTACTGGGCTTCAAAATGCTGAATAAAAAAAACTATTAGTCAATTAATTGTTTAGTAAACCTACTGGGCTTCAAAAGAAAAAACTTTAGATTTGTGGGAAAAAAACTTGCTGGTAAAATCCACATTAACATTAAACTGTGGTCACTTAAACATCTTTGAACACGAACTCCTTTTTGGAGAAAAACCAAAACAAACATCCCAAAATTTAATTTCTTAAATTCTATAAAGTAGTGCTAAAACAAGTAGTCAATTAATCAATTAGCCAATGATTTTTCAATAAAGTATCTTTGGGTTTTGGACTGTTGCTAAACTATTAGTCAATTAATTGTTTAGTCAACTGGCAAAAAATGTATTGGCAGTTATTTTGACATACAATTAATTATGAATCTATTTTTATATACAAAATGCCAAACATTTTCTCAATCCAGCTTCTTACTTGTATCTTTGGGTTTTAGACACGTCCGGGCCAAAAAAGCAATTTAAAGACGTAATTTTGGGCTTTATCTTTCACTATTCTGAGACATTTTATAGACCAAACAATTCACAGCTAAATGTATTGTGTGGTGTGATTTTTGTCGTGTTGGCAAAGTTCATTAAAAAGAATGTAAGAACAAAAAAAGCACTTTACAAGAGCAAGTGCGTGCCTCCCTTCTTTAAAAACTAACCACATGATTACAACCAATTAGAGAAAATATTACTGCACACAGAAATACAGGTGCTGGTCATATAATTAGAATATCATCAAAAAGTTGATTTATTTCAGTAATGCCATACAAAAAGTGAAACTTGTATAATGTGTACATTCATTCCACACAGACTGATATATTTCAAGTGTTCATTCCTTTTAATTTTGATGATTATAACTGACAACTAATGAAAACCCCCAAATCAGTATCTCAGAAAATTAGAATATTGTGAAAAGGTTCAGTATTGAAGACACCTGGTGCCACACTCTAATCAGCTAATTAACTCAAAACACATGCAAAAGCCTTTAAATTCTTCTCTCAGTCTAGTTCTGTAGGCTACACAATCATGGGGAAGACTGCTGACGTGATAGCTGTCCAAAAGACGACCATTGACACCTTGCACAAGGAGGGCAAGACACAAAACGTCATTGCTAAAGAGGCTGGCTGTTCACAGAGCTCTGTGTCCAAGCATATTAATAGAGAGGCGAAGGGAAGGAAAAGATGTGGTAGAAAAAAGTGTACAAGCAATAGGGATAACAGCACCCTGGAGAGGATTGTGAAACAAAACCCATTCAAAAATGTGAGGGAGATTCACAAAGAGTGGACTGCAGCTGGAGTCAGTGCTTCAAGAACCACCACGCACAGACGTATGCAAGACATGGGTTTCAGCTGTCGCATTCCTTGTGTCAAGCCACTCTTGAACAAGACACAGCGTCAGAAGCGTCTCGCCTGGGCTAAAGACAAAAAGGACTGGACTGCTGCTGAGTGGTCCAAAGTTATGTTCTCTGATGAAAGTAAATTTTGCATTTCCTTTGGAAATCAAGGTCCCAGAGTCTGGAGGAAGAGGAGAGGCACAGAATCCACGTTGCTTGAAGTCCAGTGTAAAGTTTCCACAGTCAGTGATGGTTTGGGGTTCCATGTCATCTGCTGGTGTTGGTCCACTGTGTTTTCTGAGGTCCAAGGTCAACGCAGCCATCTACCAGGAAGTTTTAGAGCACTTCATGCGGCTGACCAACTTTATGGAGATGCAGATTTCATTTTCCAACAGGACTTGGCACCTGCACACAGTGCCAAAGCTCCCAGTACCTGGTTTAAGGACCATGGTATCCCTGTTCTTAATTGGCCAGCAAACTCGCCTGACCTTAACCCTATAGAAAATCTATGGAGTATTGTGAAGAGGAAGATGCGATACACCAGACCCAACAATGCAGAAGAGCTGAAGGCCACTATCAGAGCAACCTGGGCTCTCATAACACCTGAGCTGTGCCACAGACTGATCGACTCCATGCCACGCTGCATTGCTGCAGTAATTCAGGTAAAAGGAGCCCTAACTAAGTATTGAGTGCTGTACATGCTCATACTTTTCATGTTCATACTTTTCAGTTGGCCAACTTTTCTAAAAATCCTTTTTTTTTATTGGTCTTAAGTAATATTCTAATTTTCGGAGATACTGAATTTGGGATTTTCATTAGTTGTCAGTTTTAATCATCACAATTAAATGAAATAAACATTTGAAATATATCAGTCTGTGTGTAATGAATGAATATAAATATCCAAGTTTCAATTTTTGAATTGAAATACTGAAATAAATCAACTTTTTGATGATGTTCTAATTATATGACCATCACCTGTAATAAGTAAAAGTAGGCTGCACATCAGCCATGTCAGCCTCCTCCTGGCATTTGAATTCTCTCTGTTATCATCTGGGCATCTGCATGTACTTCCTGCATGCCAAACAAACCGCCACTCCAAATCGTTTATCCCCTCGACAATCAGACTCTTAAACTCACTATAGTCCTTTATGGGGTTACAAATGTGCATATACTATTTATATTGCACTGTTGTATTGCACATTACATAATCTACTGGTATTTGATCAGTATTTATTCAGGTTCCGGGTGCGCTGCCTGGTTGGATGCTGAAGATGTTTGTGTGTGTTTTGCAACTGTAAAGTCGTTTGAACTTGAACTCTAAACTATTTATTTATGTCATAAATTTGGTGCAAAGTGCTCATTATTAGCTGCAGAGGGAATAATGATTGTACACTACAGACATTAGTGCGTTTGTTCTTAAGAGATAAACACTAATTAAAGTAATAAATCTGTAATTAAATATTATTGTTCCCTAGTTCCTAAAAAGTTGAATGGAAAGGGGAAAGGACCTTTTAATAATAACAACAAACTTTGCTCATTTAGCGTTTTTGTAAATTACAAAGTGCCTTACAGTAAAACAGAGAATCGGGATGCAAGAAGGGGAACGATGTGTCCTTTTCTTCCTCTCTTCCTGTGGCACCATTTTGAATGAGCTGGAGAAGAGCAAGTGACTTTTGGCTGAGACACTAATCAAGAGAACGGCACGTTTTGCAAGATGTGTGAGGGTTAAAAATGATTTGATTCTGTCTCGACTGAACCAAAACAGGCCTCTGATTTTCAAATGAAATCTTACAGTCAATAATATAATCCATGCAGTGTGAACACAGTGTGGGAGAGAGAGCTGACTGGGGCGCTCATTTTAGGACAACCCCCCCCCCCTTGCACCAGGCAGTTGAAGACCCTCCCCTGTGGAAGAGGAACCTCCGAGGTCTCCGGCCCCAAAACCTGCAGAATATGTTGCAAGAAATGATCACAGAAGTCAGAATTGCAGGAGTAAAAATGATTCACTGTGTTCTGTTATGAACTGATCAACCTTTTCAGCTTTCTTTCACAGTGACTTGTGAACTTCAGCTTTGGTGAATAAAGCATGCAGCATGCACGTAACACAACAATGAACATTTTATTAACCTCCTGTCATAACTTTTCACCTCAGAGCAGTTTACACCACAATTATTTAGCTTTTAACTCACCAGTGTGCTCACTATTCAATTCTGAAAGTGTATGAACACAAAACATAAATGCATTGGTGGTTCAGTGGTAGAATTCTCGCCTGCCACGCGGGAGGCCCGGGTTCGATTCCCGGCCAATGCAATACACTTTTCCCCCCTTATTTCATGTGAAAGAAGCAGGGGAATCACCATAAAGACACACTGCATTTGATATTGAATTTAAAAACATACTTATGGTCATTAGAGCTACAACAAATTACTATTCTTAGTATCCATTAATTAATCTATAATTCTATAATGTATTTTCCAACTTTAGCTACTGGGGGGGGGGTCTATAATGTTTACTGATAAACTGTAAACCCTTCTTCTCCACCCCTGAGTTTGTTTCATTCACTCTGGTCGGTGTTTACAATGCATCGCAGACCAATGTGCAGGACGCACAGCGCATCTTGCTGTCCAGACATTGTGTGGAATAGACAAATCCAGACTTCTCAGCGACTCTGCTTCCATCTGGAGGGGGCGCAGACAAATCACCAATTACAAACCTAAAGCCCCGCACTCCTTTAACAACTGGCCAACAAACTGAACCAGGTCTAGTGTCAATCTGAAAGCAAAGGGTCAGTTCTTCCATGTGACTCCACTGATCAGCTCCAGCCCACCTCCCCCACCTCAGCAGGGGCCTGGGCCCTTCAACAACTGCCCACCCAAGAAGCTATCCCCTCCCCACCACAACGACAACACTGGGCCATTCAGGAGGCAGAACCCCTACAAAGCAGTTGGGCAGACTTTGCCTCTCCATCCACCTTTAAGTGCTGTGCCGATCAGCTGTTTCAGGAGATCACAGGTATCTTTAACGCCTCGCTGGAGACACGCTACGTGCCAGGCTGTTTCAAATCCTCCACCAGCATCCCCGTCCCCAAAAAACCACAGGACTTAACGACTACAGACTACTGACCCATCGCCCTGACCTCTGTGGTAATGTAGTCTTTTGAGCACCTTGTGCTGTCCCACCTCAGATCCAATACAGACACAGTCCAGAATTCCCTGCAGCAAAAGCTGACTCTGATTCTAATCCATTATTTTTGAATTTATTGTTTAACCTTTGAATTGTCAATAAATAGTGTAAATGACCTTTACAATTTCCTACAGGCCATAATGATGTCTATGTTATGTCTAACAGAGGCAGAGCTTAATCCTTTGATCTGGTCTTCATCCAGGCTTCAATTACTCACACACATCTGGACAGATGTTCAGGCCAGGCTTTGTGAGTAAAAATAAACATTCAGCAACACAACCTCCATTCACCCTCAAACACACAGAAGCACGCACACAAAAGCACACACTCTAGTTGTACTATATTTACACTAGCCTGAATGGAAAGACCATAGGGAAAGACACATACGCCCCCTTTACCTAATTCTCCATCTGCAGGCACAAAAGCCAGCGTCTAATTCAGTCTTACTGACACTGATTTAAGTGGAGAAAACGCATTCAGGCTATTCTCTGCCTCAGAGAGCATTACTGTACAATGATGCTACAGTCTGGGAGAGCAGTTTTGTTAATGTCTACACTTGAAAAAGAACTTTGCGTTTTTATAAACGTCACTAAACCGAGGGCCTGATACTGAAAAGATCCTCTGTACAGTAAATGTTCTAGAGATTTTAAAACCTTTATCATGTGTTTTTATTGTAAAACATATGTAAAACACATTTACCTTCCTATTTTATAAGGGGTGTTGGTGAGTAACTTGCGATTTAGTGGTAAGTGCTCTTAATGTGACTCCAACCCAGAGTCACCAGCAGGAGGCGGCAGCACACAAATGAAACTACTGCAAGTTCAACCTTTAGTCTATCTGTCAGTTCTCACTTCGAAACTAAAAGATGTTAAGAGTCAGCTGAAGTAAACCTACTGGGCTTCAAAATGCTGAATAAAAAAAACTATTAGTCAATTAATTGTTTAGTAAACCTACTGGGCTTCAAAAGAAAAAACTTTAGATTTGTGGGAAAAAAAACTTGCTGGTAAAATCCACATTAACATTAAACTGTGGTCACTTAAAATTCTTTGAACACGAACTCCATTTTTGGAGAAAAACCAAAACAAACATCCCAAAATTTAATTTCTTAAATTCTATAAAGTAGTGCTAAAACAAGTAGTCAATTAATCAATTAGCCAATGATTTTTCAATAAAGTATCTTTGGGTTTTGGACTGTTGCTCAGACAAAACAAGCTATTTAAATACATCACTTTGGGCTTTAGGAAAACTGCCATTTGATTGACCCAACAATTAACTCTGACACTCATTATCAGATTAACTGGTGGTGAAACAACTGTCGCTTGCAGCCTTCACATAAAGATAAAAAGGGGCAGTACAATTTTAAGTTTAGGGCACAAACATGACTTTATATTATCATAGTCTATTATAAAGATTTTGTGGTTGCTTCAGGCTTCACACTTGTTAAAATGTAATTCCCAAATATTTTTCAAACGGGAAGTCCTGTGTCCTGTGAAGAAACTCAGACAGGGTGAGAGAGGTCATCAGTTTTCTCAAGTAAAGTTTCCATCCAAATTGAACGCAAATTTTAACTGAATTTCAAGAAAATCGGCAGAAAAGTTTTTTAATTAACGCATGTTTCCATCTACTACAGCAGTGGTTCGCTAACTTTTTCTGTCACGCTTCCCCATCAGAAGCCAAAATAAAGTTTGTGAACCCCACCCCATTAAAAGTGGATTAAAGTTTTATCAATCGTTAACATTACAGGTGATTGGTGAAGATTCAGGTTAGCAAAATAACCTCGCTAGCATCAAAGCACTTTTGTTGGTGTCACCACATGAATCATATTCATGCAACTTTAGGTCAGCTCAACTTCCACGACCTCTCTAAAGTGGCTCTACGCCCCCCAGTTTGAGAACCACTGCACTACTGTTATGGGAATATGAGGAGTTGGCCACATTGAAAAAACTGTTAGATGCTATAATTATCCATTCAGGTGCCATTAAACCATTGCAGAAGAGGAGGCAGGAGATGGCCTAATTCCAAGAGCGGAAAACAATGCAGATCACATGACAGAAATATGGCATTTTTCTCAATTTCTGGAAGGTTACAGTCTCTTCACTGCAGGTTTGATGTTTTCATCTGCAGCCATTTTTCATCTCTTTAGCATGTTGCTTTACGTTCGTCATAATATATTCACTAAGTCTGTTTCCATTGCACTTTGTCACATTATGCTTTTAATCTATGCACAAACATTTCCACCCAGCCTGATTATTTTGAGATATTTCAACTTTTTTTCTCATGTTTTCACTCAGAATCTGAAAATGCACTTAAAAAAAACAGGTGGATTGAAACATTTTTAGTTCCTAAACTGTCAAAAAGTTGACAAAAAGTCATCTACAATCAACAGTAATGTTGCAACTGTATGTACAGTCACAGAAAAAATTGACAATCCCTAATATGGGTAAAGTAACCTCACCCATGACTCTGGCGTGAACTTTGACTTTAACGCTGACGTTCTCGTTGGTCTCGCTCAGCAGCAGCACCTCCTCACACAGAACTCCCTCCTGCTGGGCCATGTATTCGCACGTCACCTTCAGACCTCCTGGTAACACACAGAGAGAAAGACAAAGAAGACGACAGATAGGATTTCATTTTTCGTTTTTTTACCACACACACATACACGCTGTTTCTTTGTCGCTCAGTGTGAGGCGATATTTTCAATTTGGATAAACATACAATAAAAGGGGTCAAGAGAACAAAATGTCAGCATGATGGAAAAACACATGAACACATGAGTAAACTTTCACAAATATATTAAACACACCTAAAAGCACACCTGCCACTGTTAACATCAGCTGATACACATACACAGGTGCAGACACAGACCAGCGTGTACTATAAAGGGTGTGACAGTAACCTCAAAGAAAGGTCAGTAACCTGCTTCAGTTACTGACATGTTGTGGGCACAAGTAACAGAAACTTTAGAGGATCACCCTTGGCTCAAATTAGCAGGAGAGAGAGAATCCAGTAAAAACTCACACACACACACATTCAAGTTTGCTTGTTAGCCCGTGCAGGTGCCAAGTGTTTGGGGTTTGCCACCTATGACAGCACGACGCGTGGCAGGAATTCAAGACAAACGCAGGAAAGTGCTTGACAGTTTTATGATTCCTCAGAGACGGATTGCTGAGCTAACACCGTCTGAACTGTCTGTTGCTGTAATCCTCAGCCATCTGTTACTCCATGCAGCCTGAAACAATGCCGTGGAGAATTACGTCAAAGTATTTCACTCAACTCTACGTGCCACAAAAACAGACACATACCACACTTGATTTTGTATTTGTGCGTTACACTCATTTTATGTGGCTTAGGAAGGTAACTTGATAAGGCAAAAGCCTAATACTAAGAAAACTTATTTAAAGGACGTTAAAGTCATGAATGCCATTTAAGAGCTCTGTTTGCAGCGTGTAGGAAGTGAAGCAACATTCTTACAAGACCAGTTCGATGACAAATTACAGCAGAGATCTGACACAAACTTCCACTGAAGAGGAAACAGATCAAAATGCAACATATCAATGTAAATGTCCAGTCAATGGCTAAAAAGAAATTGCAGATCAGAAATGCCAAATTTCGATCAGTGACTCCATTACATCGTTTGTCCACCAGAGAAGATGAAAAGGGGATTTTTTTGACAGTAAGATGTCTAGTTCACTTCATAATATGGTCAAAATTACAAAATGTAATCAATCAATCAATCAATTAATGTATGCTTATGTAAAATAGAATTACCATTAATGGACTAAAATCTAAAATAGGTTATATTGCAAAGTAATCCTCAAATCTGTATCACGGTAAGTTTCTTGAAACTAAAGATGTTTTCAGGAATCATGTGGGTCACAGGATTCCTGTGAGATTCCCGCAGGATGGTAGTCACAGGAATAAGAGTCAACGGGAGCGCAGGGCTGCTAAAAGTTCCCCTAACTCCTCTGCATTTTCAGGTAGAAATCAATTTGTTGTGCCTTTATTTATAGATAACTCACCTAAAAAGACACATGAATGCCTTGGTATACTATCATATTTATGGAAAGAATGATATCCAATTTAATCATAATCTTTTATTTGCTATATGATTTTTTTGGCAGGTTGGTGGGTGGAGGAGCCTCTGACTTCATTATGCCCTCTCACTTCTGAAACCAAATCTTGGTGCTGGTATACAGATTTTGCTATATACAGAGATTAAAATACTAAAAGGTATTACCACCACCAGAAGTTTCTATTAACATCTATTAACCCAACCCACATGTTCAGGAGGCACTGTGACCACAGCACCTGCCTTCATTAGCAGGTTGTTTTGACAACAATCAGATCAGCAAACTAGACTAGCAACTCGGAGTATAACAAAGCTGCAAAGTACAGTTCACTGCTGTTTGTTAGGCTTTAACAGAATCTAAGCATGGTGTGAAGTCATTTTACCACATTAAACAGTTCATTTCTGGGAAGCTTGATAAACATTGTGATAATTAGTAATCAACCATCACATTAAACATATACCGCTAATCACAACCAAACTGATGATTAGCGCTAAGTCAAGTGTTTGGATATTATGACCGACGTTAAGCCGTTTACCATTACAACTCTAAATTTTAAGTTGCAACAGGAACACAGACACACAGATCAAGTAGCCGAGGGCGTGATAATAAGCATACTTCCTTCTGGATTGATGACCTACTCAGAGTCGGTACATGGCTCAGACGTTGGGAACTGGTGCTCTGTTGTGTTTATTTATGTTTTGTTTCCCTCAGTCTTTCGTGATCTTACCCTCTGGTGCCGGTGTGATATCAGTGATCCGGAGGTGTGGACTGGGTACTGGCGCTGGACACACATCCTTCCCCAGAGCTGGGACTTCGGGCAAGGTGAACACTATTTCATACCGGTGCTGCGTCTTTAAGAAGCCAACCTACAGTGAGAGACACATATTGAGAGAGTTGAAAGGCAAGGAGTTAAGTAAATAAAAACAATGGCCGTCTTTCTCTCTACCACACACTTTGGACTAATCTGACTGTAACACAGGGAGTTAGCGGTGGGTTGAGAAGAGAATGATGAAGAGAGGGATTTATACAGATGGAAACAGGCTTTGGCTTGGCCTCACATTGCATAGTAAGTCATTTAGAGCTCAATAAATAATGGATTATTTTTTATCAGGGATAAGTAATTCTCATAAGCACTATACTGCTGGGCTGGAATTTCCTTGAAGGAGTCCTGTAATTGAAATGATTAGTTACTGCTCTGGTGATCCTAATCCCCCTCACTTCGGCCAGATTCGCAATTTTAGCCTGACGGGAAATAAAACTGAATCACCTTCTTGATTTCATTCAACTCCAAGATATTCCAATAATACTTATCCCATGTGAATACATTTGTCAGTAATTCAAGAGCTAAATCTTACTCATGGTTTCACCTTCTACATCAGTTTGGATGCTGTAGTAGAGACTCTCCAAAAGCTCTATATGGAGGCCAACATGGACCACAGAAGTACAAAATTCAAAGTTTGGGTTTTCAGTGCGGTAGCAACGAACAATTTGAGTATTTCTGACCTTTGCTGATCTTTAGTATAGCCAAAGCTTTAGCTGCAACAGTTAGTCAATCAATAAAAAATTTCAAAATATTCTATGATCTTATCTTCCCCAGTCTGGGAATATTTTTTCTTTCCTTATAAGATGAAAATGTTTACGTCACCTAAAGGATTAGTCAAAACAGATTAATCAATAATGTAAATGAAAGTCTGTTACTGTCTGTACTAACTGGACCTTGTGGTAAGATTTGTTAATCAACGACTGGTCCCAGTGTCGAGAATGAACTTTATGGGACTGCTGGTCAATAAATTTCAAGACTTTTGGATGTGGGAACTAGTGACAAGCATTTTACACTATTTTCTTACTTTTTAAAAAACTGTAAATGAGTAAGTGATTAACCCAAAAAATTTGCAACAGATTAACTGATTATGAAAACAATCAGTTGCAGCCCAATACGAAATCATCCATCAGGCTGTACACAAATTTTCATATAGTTTGAAATAAAATACAAGAACAAATTCCAAAGTGTTACATAACTGCCACAACCAAACATAACACTCTGTCTTATCTCTCTTATCTCCTGTTGCTGCTGGATACAACAGAAAGGTAGAGCGAGGGGAGTGATGTTGAGGTAGCAGACTAATATTTAGCAAAGAGAAAAATTCATGAGGGAGTCTTCACAGAGTGAGGAAAGCCTCACAGAGGAGACAGCTAAAAAAAAAAGGCATATACAGCGGGAGAGAGGCCGCAGGGAAGTGCAGGCAAGGAGAGATAAACCTTAAAGCCCCACTAGCTAGAAAAGCAAACATCAGCCCCACACAACCTCTGGTGAAAGCAACGTGCAGCACAGAGGCTGCAAACACCGGGAAGTGAGAGAGGAGACACTGAAGGAACACTGCAGAGAAAAACAATAATCATTCTGTAAGCGTAGGCCCACGCATGTCCAGAGACTGTGAACTGTCTCTGAAAAATTGATTTGAGTTAGAATTTCATGCTGCAGATTTGGACAAAAAGAGAGGAAATGCTTTAAATATGGAGACCAAAAAGTGACGAGCAATTTGAAACATTTCAGTGAGAAAGTAATTGAAAGTATTTGTAGTTTACAAGTCTGTTATATGTCCTGAGTGAAGACAGCAACATGCCATTTCTAAAGATGTACTACAGTATATGTCACACTGTCGACACACCCAGACACAAAGGACTCGTTCATCCAAAACAATGGTGCAATTCTTTAGTTTTGAAGGGGGAATACCACACATTTAATGAACTTGTATGTGCAGTTCACAAAGACAAACCAGGCTGTATTTTTGAACATACCAACTAGAAACTGGAGAGGAAAAGAATGACAATCCTACACTGACAATGAATGAAGCACTGACATACAGTATTTATTTGTAAGCATAAACTAGCAGTTGGCAATGCTAGAATATTGTTGTGACTCCGTACGGACACTAACTTAAGTAATTTTTGCTGGCATGAATCTTGAGCAGATTATCTTGAATTAGTCATAATCAGGGTATGCAGAACTTGATAGACACACCAGGACAATTAATTAATTATTAATTAATTAATTATTATAATTAATTAATGTGGTACGTAAACGTTTCAGTCTGGTTTCCGTCAGTGCCCAAAAGATAATAAAGGGCACCAAAACAGAATGTTTCCAGCTGGCAAACCTGGCAGCAAATGGTAGAAAATGAACAAAATCAAATTTGGCTACTTGGGGGAAGTGGAACAAGCTGTAAACACAATTATTTTATTAGGTGCATTCGAGATGACTGCAGCTGACTTTCACCGACTTGATAGTCTAATGTGAGCTGCAGGTGCAGGGGTGGGGAATAAAAACAGCGCCCTCAAGTCGGACACCTGCTTGAGCTTACTGTGAGCTGTGATCAAAATAAAATAGCAAAAAAAGCACATGCGGTGTTTGGCCTAATACGTCAAAAGACCGAACAAATTTTACCAAACAATTACGGTGACAGTGTGGAAGCATTTCAACATTTCTAATGGGAAGTCCCGTGTCACATTTCAGGTGAACATTTCAAGTGTCTGAGAAACATGCAACAAACGCCATTTGCAGACACTGTTCTGCTGAATTGTCTCCTAACACATCCACTCCATCTGTGGCTGACTTTTTAGAAAAGGCAACAAACGGTCACCTGTTATGTTTCTGAGAAGGTGATTAAGCAAGCTGCACCTAAATTTCGAGTGCACACATATTCAAGCCTTTATGGTAACTGAAACAGACCAGAGTGAGCTGACCGGCAGGTTAGCCACTTTATCCCGTCAGTTTTTCTCTTTACAAAGACAATGTTGCCATGAAGTCTTCATGTTACGCAATACAAAAACCACATACAACATTATTTAACAAACTGGGTCAGACTTAATAAATTTGGCATGAGGATACACATGTGACAAAGTCCGGTTTTCAAAATAAGGTGTCTATACAGGATGGAAATAAGATTAATTGGATTATATTCACAGAAAGTATAAAACATATTACATGTGTACATTAAAAATAAATGAACACATGTAATTTATTTTACCGGACCCTCTTGGCCTCAAACCCACCCACCATAGTCTCTCCAAATCCTGTAGGAAACACTGAGTAAAAAGCACATTTTGACTATTAAATTTACGCAATGGTAAAAAAAACAAAAGGCGAAATTGTGAATGTACTTGTACGGTGTTCTGCAAATTTTTTCATTATATTCGGTTTCAGCCAAGAATTTTCATTTCGGTGCATCCCTAGCATAAATCGACAGAACACCGGCGCTGCTTCTGTCCTCTCTGTGTCTGTTTAAGCAATGGCAGGGCTTGGGCTCACACACACACACACACACACACACACACACACACACACACACACACACACACACACATCAAATCGAGGACTGCGCTAGCAAGAGCTCATCACTTTAACAAAATCTCAAGTGCAACCCCATCAGCAGATGCAAAACACGAACTCGTCCGGAGAGGCTTTGTACACAAGGAGGAGCGCTGCCCAAGTGAGAGGAGCCTCCATCAGAAACATTTATACCGTGTGTTCAGGAGCATACGGAGACTGTCAAGTAATAACCTATTTAAGGTCAATTCACAATACATGTGTACTAAACAATTGCATATACCTTTGAATATGTCTATATGCATATTTGCATGAAAAAATTTGCTTAAATTGTAAAACACAGATTTTTTTTAACAGAAAACACATAATTTTGGAAAAAAATTAACAGAATCTGGAAAAAAACAAAAACGGATTTCATAGGGCCCTATTCAACAAACAATGTGGCATAACTGCAGCAAGCTCCATCGGGACATAGTAACATTAGAAGTAAACATGTTGAAGAGAAATGGAGAATATGATGAGCCTAAACAGGCATAAAATCGTGCACCACATCTATGAAGACACCACGTGTCCATAACACACACACTCCACAACATTAGTAGTTTTGGGGGTCTACCAACACTCCTGAAAAAAATCCTAGGGGAAACATTGTACGGTCAAAGTAAGTCTTCAGCCTGGGAAAGTGATATTTAGGTTTTTTCAGTGTCAGGTAAATGGAGAGAAACCGAGAACAAAGACAGTCTAGCAGATACTCTTCCTGCAGGCAGGAAATCTTTTCAAAAGCCGTTTTGAAAAGGTGAGCTACTTCAAATGCACTTGATTTTGTGTGCCTGCCACTCGAACGATAACAAATCCATGACATGTTAGATAAATTATGAGGTCGGTCCACTGCCTTTTCTAAACCATAACAAACCAGTGCTTTTGATTGCTTTCACATTAGGGGACAATGTTCTCATTGTTATACTCTTTACTGTCGTCATCTAACATCTAGTCATCTTAGTGCTGCTTTAAACTAAAAATAAATAACTTTCAATTTCCCTTCCCTCTTCACTGTTCCCTGAAGGTAACCCCACACCTTGCAGTCATTAACCCTTAATCTGGTTATTCAAAGTAAAATGATTAAAAGTTTTAACGGCCGTGTAAACCTACCACAAAAAGCTCCTAAAGATTAGCTTGGCTGTCCCGTCACACACAAAAAATTAGATAAAAAAATGTGTGGCCTCTGCACCAACACTTCTTCTGCAGATCTCTGCAGCACTGACAGCTGCTCATTTCCATCTCCCACTTCACCCTCTCACTCAGAAACGATTGATACTCCAAAAGATTGTGTGTTGTTTCTACATGACCCCGCCTGCCGCATGGACATAGTTCAAGAAATTCTAATACTCATATTCATACAGCTGTTATATGCATACTGCTTCCATCCCACACACTCCCACCTTATCTTTGGTCCGTCTGCGAGGAACGCAAACCCCCAACCGGCCATTTCCATAGCAACACTATCCCCCCTCAACTCAACGATGAGCCATCTCTGCCCACTCTCAAGCACACTTGAAAAGCTTTGCGAAACACACACACACTCACAGAGTCACACATACAGGCTGCCCTGTAACTGTGAACAGCCAATCTACACCCGCACACACACCTTTTGAGCAAATTGATTTGGCTGTGAATTTGCCTCAAAGCTCGGAAAGGCTTAGTTACAGTGAGCGTGTACACCGAAACTTTAGGAGTGTAAATGAGAAAGAGTGGAAGAAGAAGGCTAACCTGATAAGAAATCCTCAGTTTTCTGAAACCTTCTTCATCAAACAAGAGTGGACCAGCTCGCAAGAATTTCCTTCACAAGACTACCTGCATGCAGGAAACTGAAAGTGACTTCAAAACGTGAGCTACTTGAGATACACTCGACTTTGTGTGCCTGCAACTCGAACAGAAACAAATCCATGACATGTTAGATAAATCATGTGGCCGGTCCTCTGCCTGCGTGCAAGTCTTTTCTCAGCCATTTAAAGGTGGGGTAAGCGATTCTAATCCAATACATGTCTTTTTGTCAAATTCAGCGAATACCTCCTCACAGTCCGGCAGCTGTCTGTTCTGTGTGTGCCGTTGAAAAACAATCTGTTGTTTGTACTCAGCCCTGACTCCAAAACGGGAAACAAACAAAGTGGCCCGCACCCCGCCACACAACACTATTCTAGCCATGGTTTGTGTGTCAGGTAACTTGCCCACTGACATTCAGCTTAGCTATTTCACCAACATTTGCTGTTGTTGTTATGTTAGCTATAGTAAGTAGCAGGAGAGTTGTGAGTATCCCTATGTGGAGCTGGTGTGCTGGCTCTGGGGCTGTCTCGTCCTCTCTGCATGTTAGCTTCACAGCAACAACTGTTGCAACAGTTTGCTAACCCACAACTTAGCTAACGCTGGTTATATTACTTGCTGTGTCATTGTTTGCTCTTTGAATGCAGACAGATTTTGAAAATGCTAAGGTTCTGAGATTCATGAAAAGCAAAATTGTTGTCAGACGCTAGCTGAAGCGTTCAGAGATTGTATTTCAGCCTTTTTTGCTCTCCACAAGTACTGCTTACCTGCCGGCACCCAAAGCCTGCTCAAACGTTACAGGGAAATACAACTATGACTACATACAGAGACCAGAATGCTTCCAATACAAAACTCTTGACCATTGCCTACAGATTCTGCATCCTTATGTAGAAACTGTTGATAAAGATTAGTCCTCATCCAACATCTAAAAACAAGACTCTGCAGCCACGATAGCATCAGGACTGTAACATGCTCTAAAGTAACATGTAGATGTTTAATTGGTATAATGTTTACCATGGTTGCCACAGACAGAAGGTCAGAGAATCACCAGTTATTACAGTTCATCCAGAGGTGAAAATTTATATGTGTTAAATTTCACTGTAATCCATTCAATAGATGAAAAGAAATTTCACTCAAAATCAAAAATGTCAACCTCATGGTGGAGTTACAGGAGATGTCATCAGGATTCATCATCGAGAGACCTTGTTAAAATATTTCAGTCTGGACCAAAGCGGTGAAATAACCGACTGACCAAGAGACTGACATTGTGATCCATGGAGGCACACTGCTAGCATATCTAAAAACTGCACAATTTCACAAATTTAAAATCTCTTTGGGTATAACTGAAGTCTGAAAAAGAAGGCTGGCCTGTGATGGTAAAACCAAGCGGAAAGCTTCCGGTCTGAGACATGAAGCCAATGCGGAAGTCCCTTAAACCTGTATTCTATTGAACGGCCAGCAGGGGGCGACTCTTCTGGTTGCAAAAAGAAGTCCGGCTCCATTAGAAATAATGGTAAAATCTCAGCTAATTTATTACCTCAGTAAACACTTTCCTAATGAGTTTATTGTCTCCTTCGCCCTAGGTTTTTGTCTTCTTCAACACAACATGATGTTCATTTAGTAAATTATGGTCCCATTTATTTTAAAATAGACCATAAAGCAGAGTATGCTTCAGGGTGGGATTATCTATGATTGACAAGCTGTTACCATGGCGACCTGTCAATCAGGCTAGAGCCGACTTGTACCCTCGGCACTGTGTCACCAGCGCCGCTGAAAAAGCGTATTAGGAGTTGGCTGTTCACTTTCTCTGGTGAGTACATTTAGTTATAAGACTTTTGTTCACTAGAAAAAATTGTCAGCCCTGTTACACCGACAGTTAACATGAATTACAGATGCATCTATCTAAGCAAGCTAGCTAGCTCCGCACACAGCCGATAGCTCCACAGTCTCGTCCAAATATGGACTCAACGTGGTGGTGCCCTATCGGCCAAACTCGAGGCTTCAAAACGGCAGTCCACAAACTGATGATGTCACGATGACTAAGTCCACTTCTTTTATACAGTTTATGAGTAAAACATGTAACTTTCATGTCCTGTGCTCACAACCAGCCAAGGATCTTTGCTGCAAAGTATCCCTCATGTCTCTCCCTATATTTTCACTGCAACTAATGGTTCAACGGTGAATGGTGCTTATTCACAACAACACTAATTCAAAGAGAAAATGTCATGAAGAACTTCTACTAGGACAAGGTAGGATTAAAGAGCTGTAAAACAACACAGCAATCTCTCAATAATAAATGAGCAGTGTTTTGATTGTGAGGTTAGAAGGAACATGTTTCATCTATGCAACCCTTCATTAGCACCATCATCATCAGCAGCTTCAACGTTAATGAAGTCTGTACGGCCAAAACAAGGTCATGGTCATTACTGGTCAAATTTAAGACACAGGAGTTTTTCCACAGCCTCCTTTTATCATGGTTTTTGACGTTTCGGAGCCTTTGGCCTCTTTCTGTTGCCGGTGCTTGACTTGAGCACCTCCAGGGTTTAAGAGCTGACAGCAGAGAACAGATGAAAAGTCTGATATCGGTGTTCTGTGCCTTTATAGCCCACAGAGGAGATTAACAGTGATGGGGAAAGACTTTAATCTTCTCCTGGATGTTTTGCAGATAAAGCCCATCAATGCTCGAAGAAACTAAGAGAGAAACTCTAGAGAGTTACCTTCTGATATTATATCCACCACATGGCACCCAGGGACATCAAGCCGCTAATTATGACCAATTACAAGACTTTCAGTGCCAGAGGGCTGTTCAGAAACAATTTGTGAGCAGGTAGTGTTGATTTTACCAAGAAAAACTGAGCAACTGTAATATCTGCTTGTTTGATTAGTAATAATAAACCTGTTTACACCTTTAGTATTGTAGCTTGGTTTGGACTGGGCTTTTATTTAGATTGAGTAACACCCCAATGATTCATTTGAAGATGAAATGATGTAGGACATTGTGCCTGTACAGTATGAACTTTGTATTTTGTGTTGGCCTTCAAGCTGTTGGCTTATAGTCTTGTCCTACATGCTCCTGTTTGCTTATGTTATACAGTTTGTCAGGCGTTTAAATGCATGCTTTAATAGTGCATCTGATCCACAAAAATATTATTACCTTGACAGGTCAATTAACTTGGACTTGGATAACTTCATCTGCTGTACATGGTGTCCATGAAGCAAATGGAGACTGAATAATGTCTGTAGGCTGGGCTGAAATCTACTGCAGACCATTTTTGATCCAAGAGAGCGTATGATGATGCCAGCTGATAACTGAGCAGATCATTATCTTATGAAGAAGTGCATCCCAACATTTCCAGTATTTTAAAAACCAAATGTGTCATAAATCTGATTATTATTTTCCTTTTAAGAATTGATTATGAGCCAAAAAAACTGCAGAAAAATACAGTTACCCCCAATTAAAGGTACATTTATTAGATGGACATAAAGTATGTAGTAAATACTAGGCAAATACTAACTCAAAGGTTAAATTAAGGGATGTTTCTTAAAAATATCAGTGGACAGGCTCAGATAGAGTCTTCCTTTTAATTCAGCACTCAGTCTCCTATTTTGTAAACTTAATCTCTGACTGCTACCATTATCCTTGGGTTGACAATCTTATTTGTTGTGTGATCAGTGATCACATCACTCAGCTGACGGGAACAGAAAACAAACAGGGCCGAAAATGAATTATCTCATCTTCTGTCTGTCCGTCAGTGACGTTAAGTCCTCCTTACCCTCGGCACGTTACAGTGGACAGACTGTAATATGTGACTGTGCTGTGATTGAAGATAACACTGATGGTAAGAGGGCGGATCGAGGCTGTCTCTTTCACAAGACCCTGAATTTAAAAACGAATGCATAGAACAAGCAGAATATAATGGATTCTGCAAATTTTTTTTTTTTTAAATAAAAAAAATTCTTATTCGCCTACTGTAGCTATCAAGTGTCAGGGTTTAGCAAAGTCAAACACACCTTGACCATGAAGTTCCCGTCATCCTCCGGGGTCACCATGACAACCGAGTCGTGCAGCTTTTCGTCGAAGTGAACATGTGATGGGGCTCCTGCAGCGGGGGGTACATCTGAGAAGCGCACGCCTCCTGCTTTCGCACAACCTGAGTGAGAGGGAAGAGGAAAGAGCTGCTGAAGGTCGGACATCTACACAAACTAGTACAGCAGAGCTCGTTAGAAAGACAATTACTTAAACCTGCTCTGGTACCTTTGGGACCTTGAATTTCTTTAGGTTTTTGACTGTTGGTCGGACAAATCAAGTAATTTGATTTGTGATGGGCATTTTTTTCAATGGTTTTCGACATTTTATGTATGAAAGTTAACCAGGAAAATAATAATAACTGGCAGTATAATCAATAATTAAAGTAATAATTAGTTGTACAAATAAAAGTCTGATTTTAATAATTAATAATACCAATATATTGCATAGCACTACCTTTGCAGATTGGATTCTGTATCACAGTGGTGAGGGATACATATACAGCCTTGTTTTGGTAATATTGGCTTTATTAAAATGCCAGCAATTGTCTTCAGCCGCCGATGGAGTTTCTTCAAGGTATGAGTTAACTTTATTCACTGACCACAACTGCTTAAAAAAAAATTTGCTTTGAAACTGCTTATAAAAACTTTATTAGGCACCAAACACAGACTACTGGCAGTGTGAATGAAGTGTGCACCCTAGAGATAAAAAAAAGCCCAAATGGCCTTTTATATCATTCAGATGTTAAGGTAATCTTACACTGCTAGCAAATACAATGCACCATCAAACTGCCCATTTCAATGAAATCATATTACAAAGTCCTCTATGCCAGTCTCCATGGGATCTCAAAGTAAACAACTTTAAGAAGTTTAGGCTTACAAGCTAAACACATTATTTCCCTTTAGGTTTTAGTGCTCTCCTATTACACTGAGACACACTGATATTTATTGTTCTCCTGACCAGGCATTCATTCGCTGTGTGAGGTTATGGTTATGGAAACCTTTTCTCCAAATAAACCCCCCTCTTCTCAAAACAATAATTCTCTGTGACAACAAACAATTTGTCTGAATTTCTGCTAAAAGGGCTTTGGTTCTGATCAGAGAGCACCATTTTCCCAGACCTCAAAGGAGACTAAAACATGTACAGAAGCTAAACAACAAGTGATACATAATCAGAACAAATAGTGTGCTGTCCTTCTCTGCTGTATATAAACAACCTTTTAAATTTTGAACAAATATTCTAGTAATAGGAGGTTGTCCTTGAAGAGCCACTGGGACTCATCCATCACTTCAATTTAAATAGCATTTCCCATAGAAACTCTTCAGAAAGTGGCCGCTGCAGGACGCATGACTTTGAGATTACCATATCCGGCATCATCATGTTTATTTCACAAACACATGCACTTCCTGTATACCATATTACCATCTAGGGCTGGGCGATATGACCAAAAACGTTACCGTCACCATAAAAAAATATTAATATCATTTGATATCGATAATTATCACAATAAATGTCAAATCATTATTTCTTTTAAGTTTAAAGGTAGATTTTTGCTCCTGAGTTGAATAAACCAGATGGTTAACTCTTTTTTTCAACAAATATGCATGAGTAAAATTAAGTAAAATCTTTTTTCCCTTTTCCTCAACAAAATAAATATCTTCATAGAAAAATTAAGTGCAAATTCAATCGTGATTCAGATAAATTAAATCAAACATTTACTGAACATTTATTAAACATTTGTTACATTGTTATTGAGGAAAATTATATTGCGATAATTATTACTATGGTTTAATTGCCCAGCTCTATTATTACCATCTTTACAATTATTCTCGATCAATTCAAAAACTACAAAAAGGCGTTCCAATCAGCAACATGACCACCATGCTTGAGCTTTGTTTTGTAGCCAATATTACCAATTGCCACTGTGTGACAACAATGCATAGACATAAGTATCTAGCCGTGATTTTAACTAATTACCTTCAAAAATAAAAACACACTACTTATTTCAAGGTCTGTTGGTACTACTTCTCTGGCTTGGGTGTATTTAGACTCACATGGTGTCAGAGAACACAGGAGGCTTTTTCACCTCCACTTTGAACAAGTATCTGGATCCAACATTATTAATTCAGTAAGCTAGATGTCAGCTTAATTAACGCTGGCTTCAAAACAAGGCCGGTGCAGAACAGTCATGCTGCGGATAGAAGATTCATATATTTAACATTTTTTTCATTTAAATTGTGGTTTATTAAGTTATCATGCAAAACTGATGTTATCACTTTAACTTTATGTACACTGACATAACAGTTTATAATTTTGATTTACAGTGACTTAATGCCTGTTGCTCCAAAAACTTTAAAGGCCCTGAAATCATCAACTGAAGTTGGCGGGGCTCAGTCGAAAAAAGTTGATGTCACATGCACCAATCACGATATAGCACTTCGGTTTGCTTAGTTAGTGCCAATCAAATCTGATCAAACCACATCCACACAGTCCTGAAGAAGGAGGTTAGCTTTATTTCTCAAAAAAATTCCTGAATATAAATCCTAACTTTGATTGTTGCTTATCAGTCATACATAGTTTTCAGGGACTTTCAGGGACTTCCAATTTGAACTTTAATCAGGTCATCGCCAACCTGACAGCTGAGGGGATTTAATTATTTTTTATGTCCTCTTCTTCTTCTTCAAAAAAAGTTTTAAGTTGGGATATGCGTCTCTTTTACAAAAATTTATTGATAGAGGCATTTCTTCCCCTTCATATTGGACCAGAAATGTTCCTTTAAATCAAACTTTTTGTCAAAAGAGGATAATTTCTCTGCCAGGCAATGACAAACCAACATCAGGTGAAAATGGTGCCATCTGTATGAATTATTAAGATAACAGAGCAGAGGCTGGTAATAGTGCAACATTTATACCGAAGATCAAAACGATAGCAACATAATTAATTTCTTATTCCAAAAAACCAGCACATGAGGGCTGGACATTTTGATTAAAGTACACATCGCTTGAACAATCCTGCCTTACTCTGACTCAGATGCGATGTGAGGGGACACAAAGTTGATCATGCCTCAATGTCTGAAATTTCAAATGTATTTTAGTTCATACCACTTCTACGCTGTGTAATTAATCCGATGCATTTAATTGAAGTCGTGTGACGACAATGAAGCACGGGCCATTACTTTCCCACTTGGGCTCAGTTCCATTAACCTTTTACACAGACCCAGAGATAAGAAATCTGGGTCACAATAATGAGTTCAGGAGTTACATCATGATCCATATGTGCAGGATCTCTGTGTTGAAATGGAAAGTATTAACGAGGAGCGGGGAGGGGTGTTACATCAAAATTTTGTTTAATATCTGAAGCTGGATCTTCACAAGATGAAATATATTAAAGATGAAATATGAAGAATAAACAAATGAAACATAACACCTCGCAATGTTAACAATATGCCATATTTCTGATCCAAGATATTCCTGTGATCCTCCACAGGGCAATCACCGAGTCTCTCCCAAATCCAGATAAAGCGAGAGTCAGGGGAGACTTATATCTGAAAATGGGTTTTCTTATCTGACTATGCTTCTTCATGGGAAAATTCATATATTAAAGTAAAAAAAAAAAAACATTAATGGGATTTCCACCATTTTCAAGAAATGACATCTAGTAAGATCACACTGATAAAAACAAGTATATAAACCCATGAATGTGATGGCAGAAATTTAGTAGTGTAGTGTTTGGGGTATTTTAGTATTTAACATTTAATTATTCTTTGTATAATGTATAAATTTGGTGACAGTTTAAATGCTAACGTTTTCCCCAAATGCATAAATGATGAAAGAAAGCCTAAAAATCTGTCTGTATCGTAGTAGTAGTGTTGGCAGTAATCTGTTAAATAGTGTTAAACTAATATGCCTTTCATTTAGTTGGTTTATTATTATGTTATGTATTATGTTTTAACAACAAACAATCGTGAAATGTACTTTTGGTGAAATAATTAGTTGACTACTCTACCAAACAATTTCTTCAGTTTAAGTATTTCAAATAGCTTTTCTCTGTTTTATATCTTTAGATTTTTAACTCTCCATTGCACCAACCAAATAGTCTGAAGCTCTGGGTTATCTGCACTATTTTCTGACATTTTATAGACTGAAGGATTAATTGACTTATCAATGAAATGATCAAATAAAAAATGCTAATGAAAATAATTGTTATTTACAGCTCTAAAATGTAAAAATATTACAAGTTATACAGTGTGAAGCATTTTTGTCATCTATGCTGGAAAATCGTTGCTACAGCTCAAAGAGGAATCTTTCTTGCAGCAGTTTGGCACCACCAAAGTTAAGTATGTGTGAGACAAGGCTCTAATTACAAACATTATACAACAACTCTTACACTACACTTCAGAAACATCAGATCTAAAAGCACAGAACTACTCACTTTTGACTGGGCACCCTTTCATTAGGTGACTTGGTGCTTTCCACACAGGTAAGGAAAGTGCTTAGCGTTGTCTCAGTCAGAAGTACCACTGATGTTACTATTTTCTGAAAAGTCCAATGCCTTCAGTGAGCCTCACATATGATTAATGACACGATCAAAATAAAAGCAGCATCCACAAAAATCAATACTGTAGCAGCTCCAAGATGAAGGGATCAAATTTAAAAGCCTCTAATTCACACACCATGAAATGCTGTGATTTCAGCAAGGTGAACAATTTGGTTGCCAAAAGATACTTAAAGTTGAAAAATGCTGAACGAAATGGCATTTCTCATGGTCCAAGATGCTAAAAGAAAAGTCACAATAATACAACTTAACACAGTGACTAAGTAACACTAGACGAGACAGAGCTGATCTATTTCTGTAAGACGGAGTGCGCATGGTGTAACTGGAGCATTTTAAAGTGCATAGTGCAGCATAGTGCAACCCATATCTAAAGTCTATACATATATATATATATATATATATATATATATATTAGCAGCATTGGAAGTACTTAACAGTAGTGGCTGTAATGACGTACGTAAACAGTGTGGGAGATACAGTATGTGCTTATTAAAAGGAAAAAGGCTTCTGTCAGAAGTGGGATTCGAACCCACGCCTCCAGAGGAGACTGCGACCTGAACGCAGCGCCTT